CAAGCATGGCCATATGCATGAGGTCATGTCCTCATCACTCTTCGCAGTTGCCGGAAAGGAGGAGGAGACAAATCCCCAATACCAAAAAACTTGGTATAGAGAGATACTAACCCTAACATGACTCGATCTACTGGAAAAATTATTAGAGAGATAGATCCCCACTCCCTCTGGTCTCCGGTGAGTTGCCGAAAGGGGAAGGGAGGGGGACCAGCGGAGGTGGAGGCGGGGGCCTGTGGCAGCGGCAGCCTGGGCTGCGCCCTAGGGGCTCACAACGAAAGAGTCCGTTCGAGGCTGCGAATTCGTTTATTACCTCGCGTAGAAAAATTATTATCTAAATTAAACATCTAACATAAACAGCATAACATGGAACAGTACGCAAGGCCATGTAAAATATATCAAGAAAGAACCATGCATGGGAATCTTTTTGCCATCTATGCTTTTTTAGACCACTTTACAATCAGGTCTGCCAGTTCAAGTATGATTTGCTCCAAAGTATAACCGTCTAAGACCTTGTTCAACACCGAAGACAATCTCTTGCGTTGTGATTGTGACAATTTGGCGAGCCTGATATGGCAGTGCGTAAAGGGGCTCTCCATCCTGGCGTGCGTGAAGTCGCAGCCGGACAGCTGGTGGACCAAGCTCGCCGCGAACCTGCGGCCCTCTACATACTTGTTCTTGCAGTAACTGAGGGCTTCCCTCTCATCGCCGCTGAGCTTCCCACCAGCCTTCAACAGCTGCTTGATGGCGTTGAAGGTACCATCGTACCTGGGAATGGCGTGCCTCACCGCCGTGAGAACGTAGACCGTGACCTCGACGGTCTTGGGCGCAGACTTGAACATCTCCCAGCAGATGCCCGTCCACTCGGGAATGCCCGTTTTAGCGCACACATCAAGCATTTTCATGGTGGGCACGTTGGGGCAGGCGGCGCCGGCGGTGAAGACGAAGGTGGACAGATCGAGTGACGAGGATTATTGCTGGGAGCAAGGTGATAGCGGCGGCTCTCTTCATGTTTAAAGCTGATGACTGGTTCATGTTTCTGTTGGAGGACTTCGAGGGCCCTAGCTATAAATAGGGAGGATGATTGTCAAATATAAGAAAAATACTCTGTACAACAGAGATATGCTACGTTAATTTCCAGGAATTCTCATTCATGTAATTTTGGAGTAAGGATTCTGTTGCATTAATTTATACGACCATCGTTGACACAAATACACTTACATTCTACATGAATGATAACATATCTATCTTCCACCATATCTAGCAAAGGATTATGTGCATCTCCAGCATTAAACCCACATTTCCAGCATTAAACCTCACCCGTGCTAATGTTAAAGTGGTATAACATGCAAATAATGGTGATTTAGGTCCTGTTTGACCAATTAGCTGCTAATAATTAGCTACATAATATTAGCTGAGCCATTATAGTTAGCTAGGAATTAACTAGTTGGGTTCAACTACTGAGATAGTTATTATTAGTTGGTATTTAACTAAGAGCTAGACTATTAGCTAGACCTATTTGAATATAAAGGAGCTAGTTATTAATAGCTTAGTATTAACTCTATGAATCTAAACAGGGACTTAATGTGGTCCCTTGTAAAAGACCTATGAGGACTGAGTTAATAAATTAAGAGATTTATTTTACAATATCACACTAGTGGGATTCTTTTTATTATTATTATTATTATTATTATTATTATTATTATTATTATTATTTCCCTATAATGACATTAAATAAATGCTGCCAGCATATCACTATCTAGTTATAGGGACCCACGCTACCATATGTGCATGCAGAATAGGAAAATATCATCAAGTGCATATCTCTTGTATTTTCGATCTCTACTGGCATTCTATCTTGCCATATAAACTGTCCATATCAGCATGCACTAGCACTGCGTTGTTATCATTTTAACTTTGCGAGACATGTATAAAATTTCAAATCATTTTAACAATGTGGGATATACGTTAGAGTGAAGCGTATGAGCCAAAATATATACGTTTATGATTTTTTTTTAAATTATTAAAGGTATAGACAGTTCAATTTAGAACTACTTTCGATTAGCACGCAATAATTCATTTAAACTATAAAAATAGTAAATACGTTTGAAAACTTTTAAAACTCCTACATAGCAACAAATATGTATGCACGTACGGTTCATAACTATATTTACACAAATCTTCTCTGAGAACTTTTCAAACTTTTAGCTCTCTGAAAATCTTATCGTAATAATGTTTCACAAATCTTCTCAAGCTTCACTGATTACAAAAGAACCATGATCAACTAATGTACAAACAAATGCCACGAAAGGATAGATCATATTTTTAGAAGAATTTAGCGAAAAGAATCATCCCATTCGGAGTTCACATGAGAAACAAAAACGAGTTACAATTTTTAGATCAAGATCAAAATGAAAAGGTACACACCAGTTATGTGTTTTTCAAATCTCATATGATCTTGATTTTCCAGAAATATGTTATATGGTACAGATTCCGTGATTCGCTAGATGTAATATAAAGTGCATTATGAGTAACAAATACATTATTAGCTTGGTGGTCTGTCCAAATCTTTGGACCCTGAAGGGGTCTTGAGTTCTGAGTGTCCATCTCATCTTGTTTTTTTTTTTTAAATCTCCATCCCATCTCTTTTTTGGAAGGCCTGTACGAGTCTGATGGGCCAAGGCCGTTGGGCCTGCGCGAGGAATTTTTTCCGCGAGGGAGGCTTGCTTGATGGGCCGAGGCCGTTGGGCCTGCGCGGGGAGGGAAAATGGCCGAGGTCACTGCAGCTATTGGGCTCTCTAGGGCCAAACTGGCTTGGCTCGACCACTGCAGCTGTTGGACTTGCTTGTAATTGAATAATTCAACATTTTGGTGTAGCATAATCAGGAAAAATTTAGAAAAAATGTAATAATTGGAGATCACATAGATGACCGGAAAATTTGAGAAGACCACGGAAAATTTGAGAAGACCTCGGGCTGTGAAGTCATGGTCGAGAGGTCCGTGGATGGTTGTCGTGGCAAAACAAATTTGGCAATAAAAACAATTGGTGGTTTTATCTTCCGAGCCATTTGAATGGCACTCAATAGTATGCATGTTGGGACGATGTGACTTAATTTTGAGATTCTCCAAGATTACTACTAGACTGTTTGGTTCATGCCCAAACTTCCATTCCAAACTTTCGACAGTGCGGTGATCAAAAATTAATGAAGCCACACTTGTGGCAAAGTTTGGCAAAAAAGATAAGTCTATAATGTGTAGGATAGGGTGCTAAGAAAGTGTGTCGTTCCATAGTTCCAAGAGCGAACCAAACACACCTAAGGAACTATGGCATGTCTGACTTATCGCATGGCAAGTTGTGGTCATGAACCAAATAGGCCCGACTTTCAATAGCCAAAGAATTTTGCAGTAATTGATTAACAGAGAAATTCAAAGTATTCTAACTTTTCTTTAATGTTAGAGCACAAACCAACAAAAGCCAAAATTAGCAAGATCTAGAAATTGTCAATTAAAACATCGGTGTCCAATTAGTCTCATCACACCCTTGCTTAATCGGTATCAAATTAAATAATATAAGCTCACTAGTTCCATTGTAAAAATGTTCATAAAAATTATCTTCGTAGTCTTTCCGAATAACCAATAGAGCAAAGTTGCAATGAAGAATACAAAAAAAGCAATACCAGCAAGAGATAATGAAAAAAATACAAATTTCATATTTTCTATGGTACTAGCTTCACCCAATTAAGCATGAAACATATTAATGTGCCCCTTTGTGGTTTTATTATCTTCACCACTAAATTTATAGAAATCAAGTACTTCCCACCCATGGGGAGCTTTCATTTATTCCATATACGTGGGATATGGTTTAGTATAAATTATATCTAGTTTAATTTGTATACCTAGACTTTTTTTTTCTAAATCTCTTTGCAAATTTTCTCAAAATTAGCATAAAGCTTCGTCCCATGGGGGCCAATTGCCAATTTGTCAACTATTTGCATTTACGCTAGCTTGCTGACTCCTTAACAGTGTTTTTGGGGGATTTGACAATACCGTATTATGAGCAAAAGATACATGTCGTTTTGCTGAATTACTATTGGCTCATGTGGTAGAAACTGATGCTTTCGCACCGGTAACCATCGGTAAAGTAGTGCCATAACCCCCTAAGTTGGCAAGGCCACGTAGAACGCTGACAAATCTCATCAAGAGAAGTGTTGGACCACAAGGAGGTTGGAAGAGATAGGGTTTGAAGTTAAAAAGTAAAGATAGATTGATTTTTGACAATTATATAGATGAATCTCTCAATCGGACGTGATCCTGTATTATAAATAGAGGGGGTGGTCTTATCTCCGGTAGAAAACTTATTCTACGCGAAATCTACAAGCTTCACACAAGATCGGAACAGTTCCCAACAAAAAACAAGATTTGGACTCGAGCAGCCAAAACCAGCTCAGGTTAGTTCTCAAAACTAGCCTAGGCCTGTTTAAATAGTCTCTAGTGGCGTCCCCGTTTGTTTTCCGATTTCTCAAAAAGTTTGTCCGAATTCAATCTCTTTTCATCTCTTCTGCTTGCATGTGATTTTCTTGTTTGATCTTCAATTCCCCAGTCATATTTTAGCTATCAACATTCAACAACGGTGTAGAGATTGGACTGAAAAGAAATATTATCATGTGTGATTAGATAGTTAGTTCAACACTTCAACCCAACATCGGAGTGTCATATACCTGCAAATCTGTTCAACTAGTATTGAGAACCAGCCCGTCCACACTCGCCATTGAACAGACTCCAGAGATTTTATATATATATATATATATATGGCAGCTAGTTTATTGTTTCATCAGGCTCTCTCATCTGATGAAATTAATCAACCGGAAAATTAACTTGTCACACAGCAGAGCAGCATGCATGGAGCCGACGATTCAGCAAGTATTCATGGTCACCAGCCAGACCCAGACATCAGATATACCAATCCAAGATCCATGACGCCAGCGGCCAGCTGCTAGCTAGCATTACTGAACGCCCAGCAATTTTCCGAGGAAGTACGCGAGCACGGCCAAGTTCCGGTCGACCAGGCTGCGGGCGTAGAGCGGCGACGCCGGCAGCTTCATGACGCGGTCCCTGCACCCCTCCACCTGCGCGACGCCGTCCCTGTACACCTGCCCGAGGTCGTCCCCGTCGTCCAGGAACCGGCACCCGACCAGCGCGGCGGCGACGCGGTCCATGGTGTCCGTGGCCGCGCGGTAGGACTCCTCGCAGGACGCGTAGGCGTCCCTCTCGTCGCCGGGCAGGGAGGCGTTGCCGCGCAGCGTGCCCGCGGCGCGCGCCGTGTCGTCGTAGGACGCGAGCGCGCGCTTGGCGCCCACGAGCGCGTACAGGTCCACGCCGTTGGACGGGTAGGTGACGTCCCGCAGCGCGTCCTTGCAGAGCTCGTACATGAGCAGCGTGCCGGTCGCCTTCTCGCACGCGGCCTCCACCGTCATGGAAGGGACGTTGGGGCACGCGGATACGGGAGGAATGCGGTGGTGGATGAGCGCGGAGAAGAAGGCGAGGGGGAGGAGGAAGAAGAAGGCACCTGCCATGGTCATGAGGTAGCTGATTTTGAAGTTGTGCACCTGTGCTAGGGATGTACCTATAAGGCGTTCCTTTGGTTTTGCTTATCCAAGTGTGTGCCCAAGAATGCCGAATCAAGTTTTGGCTTTGACAAAAATTTGCATTCATTTGGTTGTTCACTGGAGGTAAATACAAAATTGGCACATTATTCCCGTGCCCATTCATTCTAGGAAGTAGATGGGTGACAAAAAAAATTTTAGGAAACAGGAGGGGTTATGCACCCCTACTGAGGGTGACAAATATTTTGAATTGGTAACACTTGTATTTGGCCACCTTAGTTCATTTCCGTTCAAAAGAATAGTTGGGTCATAAATTTTAACCTGCATTCGCAACCCTTTTACTCGGCCAACTTAGATCATTTTAATGGTAAAAGTTTGCCGAAACAACCTTGGCTAACAATTCGCCGGCCGGTTACCAAAAAATTGCCTTTGGCAAAATTATTGCCTTCACTTGTACGTACATGGCACATTTTTGGGTCGAAACCAAACAGGACCAAGGTGATTGAATTACATTTTGTTTTTCTGAAAGTATTGTACATTTGATATTTTAATATATCATAACGAACAATTCCGGAAACAAAATAAACTGAATACACACTTTGGTCTTTACAGACCTAACGTCACGATCAATTTTGTCTTCTTTGATTAAAAGCTGTAATTGTCGGGCTTCACCTCGATGACCTACTACGTGTTTATGTCTCTCTCTCTATATATATAGGTAGTGACATAAATTTTGCAACGGAAAATTATTACAGGAAGTTTATGTCGGTGGATGGAAACCATATGGACAAGTCAAGTTTTGAATATTAGTGTTGAACATGCTGATGCTAGCAGTGCGTGCCTTTTTAATTGACAAATAAATAAGACTTGAATGAAATAATATAAGATTTTATATAAACTAGGCAAATTAGGCATCTTCATGCCTAAATTCCGAATGTGTTGTGACAAACACAAGTAGTTGAGAATTCTTTTTAAATATAATATTTTTTAGATTAATTGCATATCTAAGCACGGTTAAAGAATAATTGTACAAGTAACACACTGGCGGGTCTTGTTTGGCTGATAGGACAGACCTATCGGCCGTCCAGCAGCCCATAGGGACCACCAGCCATCGTTTGCCCGTAGACCTTGTCGGCGCCTACAGCTGAAGCTGTTGTGAAAGAATCTGCATCTGGTCTGGTAGAACTGGCCAGGCCAGATTCTGGAACTGGCCATATCGGTTTTCCCTATGTGCCGGTGCCTGACTCGGTAGAGCCGGCCAGACCGGTTTTCAAAGCCGGTCAGGCCGGTTATCCTAGTGATACGCTGAATCAGCTTGAATTTTACCATGATGATTTCTTGGATTTAATACCTATGCGATCCAAGTGCTAAAGTTGATAAAAGTATTCGGCGGACTGCGTTCAAATTTATTTGGCATGAAGATGAGATCTACCAAAGAACTGCCGAAGACTTGCTGCTTAAGTGCTCTAATGTTTATGAAGCAAAAGTGGCTATGAGAGGAGTTCCTGACGTCATCTGTGGTATGCATATTCTGAACATGAAGTGGATATTACGATAGGCTGGTTTTTATAGGCTTACTACGATTGCCGATTGCTTTTGCAACACCGAAGGATGCAAGGGGTGCTGATGGTTTGGTAATATCCAGCTGGCCCTGCTACGTTGATACATACAGTTATCAAACAGTGGCTATTTCTAGGTTGGGGGACTAGACTTTATTTGCTAGATTCATCCCCATCGTCAAAGGGATATCACTTTGTGTTGGTTGCTATAAATTACTTCACAAAATGGACCGAGGTTGATGCTTTGAAGAATTTGACGCAAAAAGCGGTAATTGAGTTTATTACTAAGTATATCAGCATCCCTCGGACATTAAATATATATAAATGAACTTATTTGTGTCAAAGGAGGTATGAGATTTTGCCAAATTATATAAGATTAATTAAGTTCCTCAATTCATCTCCATATTATGCTCAAGCTAATGGCAAAGCTGATCAAGCTTATCAAGAAGAAGATTGTGGCGGGGGTGTTCCCGTACCTGCCAGACTGACAAAGGTGTCAACCTCTTGACCAACCTGGGTCGTTCCCGACCGACACGAGGCCCCCCAGGGGGATACCATCCGTACCTCCTCTTCAGGATCTTTGTAACGGTCGAGTGACACAAAACACTCCAAATGGCAAACCTAACACATATGGCACGGAACACTATGCCATCATCTTAGAATAATTAAACAAAATAATTGAGTTTATTCAAATACAATAACAACGGAGTAAGTTTATGCGATGATACAAGATTCAACCCTCTATGGTTTGGCTCCATGAATTATCACTCGAGATGAGATCTTATCGGAGTTAATGTGTAGCTCACTTGGATTCGCCCATTCTAAGGTCCACTATGCAACGGAGGTTGGAGCATTGGCTCAATTCAACCGAAACAAAAATATCTGCAAAACAACTTAACAGCAGCACCGTGAGTACATTGCGTACTCGTAGGACTTAATTCTAACATATAGATATTTGGTGGATCCAAGGGATTTATCAGGCATTTTTACATTTGTGGAAAAGCAATGACATTTCTTATAATGACATGCTCATGATTCATTATTTAAATCAATGTGTAACACCCTAAAATTTGCCTCTTTTAAAAATAGGTTTAAAATAATTTATTTCTGAATTTTGTGCTCATGAAATATAGGAAAATAATTTTTTTCATTAAATTAAAATCCATCATAAGGTAGCAACATGTTTGTGCATTCATATTGTTGCATTTGATTCTTGGAGATGAGTGGTTTTGACTAAAACTCAAAAGGATTTAAAATGCTTTAGAAAATGGCTTTAAAGTAAAAGAAAAGAAAAATTGAAAATAAAAGAATTTAAAAAGTTGTAAAAATTATTTTTGGGAAGACTTACTAAAATTACTCATTTTTACTTGAGTTGAAAAAGTATATTTGAAACTCTATTTGAATTTGATTTGGTTTGTGTTTGAATTTGGTTTTGAAAACGAAATAGGAAAAATTTTTGGAAAAAGGAAAACTCACTCTCTCATCACCACCCAGCTCCGTTCAGCACCGCGCAGCCCGCAAGGTCAGGCCCAGCTCTTCATCACCGCACGACCAGTTTTCGCTTTTCCCCTCATCAGTCCAGTGCCACCCACTCCCTCTTCCCTTTTCTCCACGCTTCGCTCATGGGCCGGCCCAGCCTTGAAGCCACCGTGCACGCGCCTCCTCTCTCTCTTTGTGACTGACGCGCTGGGCCCACTTGTCGGCGCCATCTCCTACCTCGTGACGTAGCCGCCCAGGATTCTCCAACGTCGATGTCGAGTGTCCGTTGCCGCCCCGACGCCGCTTGATTTGACGTGCTTCCCACGCCAGGCCGCTCCGCCTCATAAAAGCAGAAGCGCGCATCGCGCCGCCCTCGCCTAGCCCTAACTGAGCCACTTCGCCGCCTCGCTTTAGCTTTGTCGCGCGCCACGACCCTAGCGCCGCTGTCGCCATCTGCTCTGCCGTGTCCCGTGCCGCTTCTGTGCCTCATCATCGACGATACCCCCCTAGGTGAGTTCGCCGTCGCCCGCTCTTTCTTCCCGTGCTAACCCCAGGTCTAGCTGTGGCCTTTAGGGCCATTTTCATGAACACCGGTGAGCTTCCTCGTCGTCGGCGATGTCAACCACCGCCCTGACCACTGTTCCGGCCAGCGATGCCCTTCCTTCCCTCCCCACTTCTAATCAGGGCCGTTTACATCTAATCCGATGGTCTAGATCAAACGGTACCCCTTCGCCGGTCTATTTTGCAAAAGAGCCCTTACAACTATTCAGATTCTAACCCGCGGTCCATTGTGTATTTGACAAATTACGCCTTCTTCTTTTAAAAGCGTATTTTGTTCAGTTGACTTCAAAAATACATTTTCAGTTATTTACAATTTTGCCACTAAATTTATTTAGGCTATAACTTTGTCGTTTTAGCTCTGATTTGATCCGTTCAACTTGTGTTAGGTTCGTAATTCCATAATCTACATGTTCATACTACTGTTAAGTATGCTTTCAACTTTTAAAATTCGAGGTTAGATTTAATCTATTATTTTAATAAAGAAAATCTTATTTAATTTATATCTTCTATGTTTTAGCTCCAAATTGACCCATTCAAGTTGTGCTAGATTCATTGCAATGAGATCTAATCGTTAGTAACAATGTTTATCATGACACTATTTCTGGAATTTCATGGTTTAAACTCTAATTTGAATAATAATTACGCAACTGGATTTTATAAATAAAATATGATTTGTTTTACTTTAGTTCTATAATTCAAATCTAAATTTGACTTGATTCAATTTATATTATTTATAAAATATCTTATATATATGAATTTATATAGTTAAAATAAATGAAGCCTATAGTTTTCTTTTTCACGTATAAAGCAAATTTTTTGGTAGTTGTATCTTTTTCATTGTAGCTCCGATTAGTGTGCTTTTCGCGTATATGTGTTCATAGCGATGTGTAGAATCATATTTCAAACTCTTTTACTTATTTTTCTATAATTGGTGTATTATTCTAATGTAGATATAATTGTATGCTATGCATGTATGTGTATGGATGTTTGTGTGGTGTTTTACGATTACGTCCAGTCGGTGAGGTATATGTGGTGGTCAAGAAGAAGGCTTACCGAAGGATCGATGTTTTAAGGCAAGTATAGCATGGGATCTTCCTTGTTGTCCTATACACCATTAATCACTTATCATACTGCATGTGTCTACCTTGATTACCATTAAGGATTTCCTAGTACCTTGTACCTTGTTCCTTGACACCTGTGGGTTATTGCATTGGGTAGTATGATGCTATGCTCAACTACAATCATGATCTTGTAACTTGACTAATGGAATATGCAATAAACATTAAAAGATGCTTTTTAGCAACATGGAATCAAGGGGGCTAGAGCATTGGGCTATTTTATGGTGCTCTAGATTCCTCTCCCTAAGGACTTATCTGT